GGTCGTGTCCAATGGCCTGGTCATCCAACAGGGCTGAGATTTGATTTGGCCTTCAAACAAGGTGCACCGCTTGACATTGTTGCAGAAGCTCGGCAACGTCGCAAGCTATCCGGATCATCAAGGATCTCAACAATCTGAATCCCTGTGTTTTCGGGCCAAACACTGGAGGCTGCCACAAGCTGGCAAAGCGGAAGGGTTCTTTTGCCCAAAGAGGAATGACCAACGCCGGCTATACGAGAAGCAACGAATACGGGTGAGATCATCCTTGCAAAAGCTGAATGATAACAATATTGTATAACTGTATATATATATATATAATAATAATAATAATAATAATATATATTGGTATATATAACTAACAACTGGGTGGGTCTTGTTGGATGGTATCCTTTTCGTGGTTGGTTCAGCGGAAAACGAAACCGGCACCACCCAATTTGGGTCAGATCTTCCCCAGCCTTCCCCCCATCATATCTCTGGTTTACTCTCAAGATTTCGCGAAGCTCTCAATGCATGAGTTCAAACGAGATCCCGGAAATGGGCGGGCCGAGGGCGTTTGTTTTTGAGTTACCCCAGGCTGGTTTTGAAGGAAACCAAGGGAGAAAAGCACCCATCCTGCGAGTCCCCCTGTTTGAAGACACACCTAAATGAACATGTGGACCCCCCGACGATCGAGCCCCGTGTCCGGCCTCCGGTTCGGATGTCTCAACTGCATGGAAGCACCGTGCCTAGCCAAGCCCAGAACGGTGACCAACAGAATGGAATACTGATGGAATACTGCAAAGATGAATCGACGTAGCCAGTTCAATTAAAGGAAAGAAAGGGCCACCACAGGATCTATGCCTCATCTGAAATGCCGGCAGCTCGCAGCATCCGCACTTGCGAACGTCTCTCTTTGAGGGCCCTTCTCTTTGACTAATTATTGTGACAGTCAGTCTCTGTGAGACCCAAACAACCCACCTACCAGCACAATTCGCTGCCTGCTCTGGCAAGCCAACCAACCCATGCCAATGGGGACCCTGTTTTTGTGCAACGCAGCATGTTGGTCTGACCCCAAACACGAGAGCTAAATAGGGTCTCAAACAGGCTGGCGGCAAAACGGATGAGCCCAGCTTGAATCACGTTGCTTTAAGTGATATGTTAACTTTGCAAGAGTTTGAGACAAATTGGCCGATTCAGCAAGCCTGACAACGGGGCTTTTCCAACAGGGTCACGTGATGCTAAAAGGCCGTGCTGCGGAGGCAACTATTGAACTTGGCTGTGTTTTGATACAGAGGTCAAACTTTGCATGTGGCATGCATCATCTTGAAGGCCAAAACCAACAGTGGTGTCGTGCCTCCAATCATGCAAATGCCCTCTTTTTTACGGCAAATCGTGACACTGCAAGGAAGGGCTTCGAAGTGCAAATGTAGTTGCCACCTTTCACGGATGTGCGCAACCCCCCAAAGACCTCGCGATATCGCCACAAACAAATATGTAAACGCACTGGGGTTGACGCCTTGGCCACGCCCTGCTCAGTGAACATGGCAAACATCACTTTCGGATTTGCCATAGCGTTCGTCTACGCGCTGCGTTCCCGTGTCGATGCAGGTGGAACCGTTTCTGCGTTTGACTCTGCGAGTCCACTAATTCTTATCAGCGGGAACATTGCCATGGCTGCATGAACCGGCTGCTCGCGCAAGTGAAGCAGTCCCCCGGCAGTGCAAACGCAGCAGCTCAGGGAACAGACTAAGCACGTCAAGGAAGGAGTCCAATCACCCCGCACCTCCCAATCCCCCACCACCTACCCCCCACCCCACTCACCCCCCTGCAAGAGGACCGGAAAACACAGAAACGCAGAAAAACACCACGGCCTGATATCAACATGCCTCCCCCAACAGTTGGGTCGCCCAACCATGAGTGCTTCCTCCTGTCAAAGAGCTTGCTTCAAAAGCAAGCTTCAAGATTGAAGCGGTTGGCTCTCTGAATGTCTTCTTAAGCTGAACAAGTCCCGCCGATGTTCTTACTTCCGAAGCTTTTATGAGCAGAAAGCCAAGACAAGGAACAAACACTGACGTCACGATCATGGGCAGGGATCATTGTTGCGTAGCCTTCAACTTAAATGGGTCCCGAAGTCACCTTGTTGTCAACTCCGCCCATGGGGTTGTATCAAAATTAGGGGACTCCCACAATAGTTGGTGTCCCTCTGGTTTGCCTCTCAAACCAACCCCAAACCGGGGGTTCCACGGAAGTACACACCCAAAGGAGGTTTCCCCAAAAACAAAGCAACATCCATACCGTGGATGGCCAACATTCTTGACCAGTTGGAATGAGTGAAACCCTGTGCTGGGAGAAACCACCTACCTGCAACTCTCCGTCAAAAAAAAGGCTGCCCTGGCCTTGTGCCCGCGGTAGGCCTCGGGGCAAACCTCCTCCACGCCGGCACGGACCAGGGACCGCACGCTGGAGTCCTTGGACATCACAAACCAGCGGAACACCAGGAGCGAGCCGGGTCTCCCAACAGGAGACCCCTGTACAAGTTTAATGCTGTTTGAAGGATGCATCTTAATCACTGATCTGGAGAGTTTAGACCAACCACGGCCAAAAGGGAGTCACTCGAGCCCGCTCACAGGACAAGTTGCTTGATGCTAGTTTGCATTCCAGCTCAAATTCCACTGGCAATAGCAAGCGTCAATGAATTCGGAGTAGTGATGCTGCGCAGTATCTTTCTATCACAAGGCAGATGCTCCGCCTCCATCATTTGTGCCTTGCCTTCCACGCAGTCTCTCTTTGGCATCTGTCCCACGCCACCCATAACAGCCATCGAAGGGGCCACCCAACCGTCCAATTGGCTTCCATCTTTCAAATCCCAGATTTGTCATACTGAAACTGTGCGCTTGCGGTTTTGAACATGCGCCTTGTTCTGAGTTCCCCCATGCCCCATGTCAACCGCAAAAAGTTGACGGACAAGTCAGACACATTTCGTGGATTGATGAACCTCCGCATTCAGCCGAAGAAGCGCGGAGCAAATAGCTGACCAACTCCGGCTCGAGGCGCCCCCGGAGAAACACAAAGGGCAAAGCAGCCGAAGGATCCGCTCGACCGCGCGCCGGCCTGAAGCTGAAAGCTACAGGTGGCACTCGCAACAAGACCAAACAACATCATAAGGCAGCCCCGTGACGAACACCTGCGGCGTCAGCGATTTGCCTGTTCAAGCACGTGCAAACCATACGTCATCTTCAAATCGCACGGCTGAGTGCGGGATGGGCAGTGAAGAATCCAAAGCCTCGAACACCTCAATTGCCACCGAAATCATCAAACTCCACAGCAGGCAGTGCAGAAATAGAGACTGACACAAGGCCTAGAGACTGACACCTCCGGCTCAGTCGCCGATTCCATCTCAGCTTTCTGACCCGAAGAATCTACGCCATTGGTTTAATTCATCTGTTGGAAAGGGTGCCCTTTGCCAACCATTGTCATAGATGCCGCTGTAACAAGGGGGCCTTCCGAATGTGGTTCATATGTGAGAAGTGTGCGCCTCTGTGTGTGTGTGCGTATGTCAGAGACGCATGCAGGTTTCGTGCAAAGCTTGTCACATCAATAAGGAGTAGAGTCTCATGGAAACAGCCAAAAAGGGGGCTGAGGCTGCTGCTTCATCCGTGCTCAATGGGGCGGGACAACTATTTGAATGAAGGTATATCGAGTACGGCCAATCACATGTGCAAGCGCCCTAAGTGCACTTTAAAGCCCTCGCTCTTGAAACCCCCTCCATCACCCTGTGTCAGCCCGGGGGCCAATTCTCTTCTTAGGGAGGGGGGAAATCAATTTTAACGTTGGATGTTCATTTTCAGCACGCACACCCACCCACCTACCCGCCCTGAAACGTAATCTCTTCCCCCAATTAATGAATGACCCCAATTAATAATAAATGCAAATCCGGGGCCCGGGACCAGATTTCCACTCCACACAATTGATTTTCCATTGCGCCAATACTAAACCAATACTAACGTCTTGGAATCCTTATTAGGGGGCACTTTTGGCAAGCTTCCAGCCTCACTTTTCAACAGGTGGGTTCCTCAATTCCCCAAAAGGTTGCTTTCCCAAAAGCTGGTAAACAAATAGACTGATACATCAAATTTCCTTATTGAACCGCTTACTCGCGGACCTTACAATTCAATCCATTTCATCCAAATCCTACGTGAACCCTCACATTGTTGGAAAAGCAAAAAAAAACAACCCCAAAAAACCCAATTAAAAAAATATATATATTTTTGGGGGGATTTATTTATAATAGGGGGGGCCGTATTTGTTAATAGGGGGAAGAGATTACATGTCAGACTTGCAACTAAAAACTGCATTCCCCAAATGTATCCCCTCAAAAAACAACAGCACCATCAAATAAAATGTACAAAACCCAACTTGACCTACAAAGGGCCTCCAACCAAAATGTACAGCCCAAATCGTTGCACATTGGGCAACCTCTTCCCACTTGTACATTTGCGGGTCGGGCAATCCCTTTTTCACGGACGGTTGTCGACGTTGCGCCCCGCCTTCCCCACAGAAGACCTTCACCCTGCGGCGCCCACACACCCAGCTCGCTCCAGTGTGTCGCGCTCGGAAGCATGCGGCGTCGCTTTGCCATGGGCGGGCAAAGCGAAACAAACGCTGAGTCTGCGAAAGGGGTGGCAGCGACAACTGTTTACATTGTTGCACAATTGGGACGGAATGTGTTCTACAGGCACTGCGAGCCTTGTCAATACACAAGTGCCCCCTACCGCCCCACAGTGAAATCTCAAGAACTGCTGCAGAATATCGACCTTCTACTGTCTGTGGAAGATGGCCAGGCCCTCGAGCCAAATGTCAAGGCAAAGGTGCTGTGGATGGAAATAACCCACTTCGCTGAAACCCATAAGAATACAGAGATAAACCACCTGCCAACCTGTGCAGGAGTTTGATGCTAAAAAGATGACATCCGGACGTCAGGAATTCTGCCTCGAAACAGCCGCTCAACACGTGTCTCCAGCCTCAGACTCTTGGCCATCCTCGCTCATGCGCGCGACCCTCACCTGACAGGTTCTGTGCAAACAACCCGAACCCTGGAAAGTTTAGCGTCGTAGCCCTGAAGAAATCCAATTGAGGGAACTTTTGATGACACTTGACATGATTGGTTCACCATGCGTGTCGAGAAGACTGTTTGGAGGTCAAGAGACAAGTGCATTCTCCTGATTGTGGTTCTTGGCATGTCTTCTAGCATGTGGCCATTCTCATAAGGGCCAGCGTCAGGCCAAAAAAGACATGGTGAATGGCAATCATTTCACGATTTATCACGTTCTCTGCTGCCTGGCCATGCGTGATTCTGGAGTTAAGTTATCGGACAGACTGCGCTCCGGTAGATATGGGTGTCTTTTTATACGGAACGCGAACAAGTTTCCATCCGGTTTCCTTCAAAAAGCAAGGAGCAAGGTCCGGGGCCCTCAACAAAACGCCAAGCCCATGTAGGGAAGGAAGCTCTGGGCGCCTCCTCTTTCAGCTCGGAGACCTCACGCTTCAGGCGCGCAATCAGCAGACTGGGGTCCAGCTCCTGGAGGCTCGGCTTTGAAGGGGCGCCAATCAGCACCCCCCCAACAACTGCTTTCCATGTCCAAAACCCCAACACCTTGCCCTTCAATTACGGCTGAGGCTGCGCCTCTTGCCACCCTAGCTCTTAGGCCTTGGACTAAGGCCATGGCTGTCCTTCAGTGCCAGGCAGATATGTTCACGCAGGTGATTCTTTCACACATGGCTAGGCGTGAGCGTCGTTTCTTCACAACGCCTGGCCCTAGAGTAAGTACGGAGATCAAAGGAAGCCTCTAAATCAACTAGCCCCTGGCCGAGGCCGGCAGCGCGAAGCGTTTACAACAAGAACAATCCAACAGGGGTCCGAAATGACCCATGGATAGTTGAATGGCAACGGTGGGTTTCCCTTTGGCTTTCTGTTGAAACACGATCCAAAGGGGCTGAGACACTAAACTGTCGCGTATGTCCTAGAGTGCTAGAATTCCACCCGTGAAGGTTCACAAACCCCTTGATTCTGGTACGTAGGTGCATTGTCGCAATTACGCCTCCATCTAATATGGGACCAAACGATTGGTTAGGTACCATTTCCTCAAGAGCCCCCCTCTGGTGGGTTCCATGTTTAGGCGGAAGAAGCTTGTTGAACAAATCTCCAACTCCTTGTCAGTTTAGTATATCATTATAGCATTCAATGGTTGGCGCCTTGTGATTTCCCTGAAAACTCTATCAAAATTTAATTAAAAGAGCCGACATCAAACCTTTGAGTCCACCCAAAAGCGGTCCGGCACCTTCGTTTGACCCAAGATTCTTTGGATCAGTGCTTACTTTTACAAGATCCCCCCATGGAGACATAGAGGTTGCAAACGCAAACACGAAAACCCAAAGCTGGCTGCAACAAAGATTGTCAGCGTCCATCATGCGGGTTCGAAAGTGTAACAAAGATAGACCCACCATGAAGGGAAGTGCCCTTAGACATGTCATGTCGGGGTGTCATTTGGTTGGAGGGTGTCATTCAGTTGGCTTATGGACAAAGTTTCAAACAAGGATGTCCTATTTTTGGACACGCCCACGTCGTTACACCCTGTTACGTCCATCAGGTGTGGGCGCCGCAGCGCCCTTTTCTGTCAGGCTTCCGGGTCCCGCTTCTCGACCATTTTGGGACCTTGACCAAGCATAGACTACTCTGTAACAACATTTAATCGCAGCATTCCCTCGAGGAGACTATCGTGGGACTCACGTGCAAATCATTCCAATTGTTGCTATGCCTATATCAGAAAGCTACAATGCACTAAACAAACTTCGGCCCGTGACTCGACAGCAGCTTGGTTGCAACAGATTGCGGAGACTTATGCGGCCACTCGAAAAAAGAAGGATACGCATACACACGGAGTCAAGAGAAGCCGGAGAGATGGAGATCTAAAATATGCCAGGTCTGTTGAATCAGCCGAGCTATCTGCCCGTTCAAACAAAATCAGTCCATTTTGGGCCTATCGAACGAGGTCAACGCAATTTGTCTCGAAGCATGCGCCGTAGCTTGGCCAGCCTCGGTGTCAACAACATCCTACCCAAAGTACACCGCTCAAAGACTTAGCATGGAATCTGATTTGGCAAAACCTGGAATATTGATGGGCTGCTCTCTGACTAAGATAATATGTTATATTGCAGTGCTGATTGATACCGTGAAACATCTACATCGAGCATGCGGAACCGCATGTCCTCATTCACGCGGGCATTGTTGGTAATCTGGGCGACCCTCTGGGCAAAACCTCAACAGGAGCGTTCCAAAGACACCGGCACAAACTAAATGAAACTCCAATTAGTGTCTATCATTTTTATTTTTGGATCATGTTGTAAAGGTTCGGAGCACGCTTGTGCAAGTAACATGCTCAAACTGCTGCCCATGTGTACTGCCGGTGGTCAGTCTGGGCTTGCTGGCGGCATGTCGAGATGGACTCGGCAAGATTGGAGGCC